TGATCTCCCTCCCTCCCTCCCTCCCTCTCTCCCTCTCTCCCTCCCTTCCTCTCTCTGAAAAGCAATTTTAAAAAAAATCCTTGGATGAGAATAAAAAATAATGAAAAAATAAAACCAGTATGAACTTAATGTCATTTTACTGTGACAGCTAGCAATATATACTTAGCATTATTTTGGGTTCATAAAAACAAAGTCTCTTGTATCTTTTCCCATTAAAGTGACTCAAATCTAAGGCTTAGGCCTTCACAGTGTTGACTTTATTAATGCCATCATTTAAAAATATCCATCATCTTAAAATTTACAAGATTTGTTCAGGTCCATTTAACATTCCTTTCAGAACATTTTTGTTGGTGGACCCCAGCGAGCGAGAGGAACGTGTCATGGATGGGCTGCTGGTGATTGCCGTGAACAAGCATCGAGAGATTTGTACCATCCAGTCCAGCGGGGGGATAATGCTGCTAAATGAGCAAGTTAGTGCTGTGGTTAATGTCCCACTAAGAATAGTCTCTTCTTTTAGAAGCTTTTTCTTAATTTTTTTTAACTAAAACCCAGCGATTTACCCAGTGATTGATTCTGGGATGTGTTAAAATCTGGTTTCAGTACTGTCATTACCTCTGTTGACTGGTGGCTACACTTAAGCTCCCTTCCTCCCTGCTGCTCCCACGTATGGCCCTCCAGGGTTTTACCCTTCTAGGTGGAGGGACACTTTGTACTTTCCAGTGAAGAAAGAGATTCATATTTCTATCCAAAAACCAGTGTCAGAAATAGAAATTAGGTTAAAAGATAGCTTTACTTTTAGAATTTGGGTATAATAAGCAGTTCTCAAATCCAGCTACATGTCAGCTTCAGTGGGGCTTTTAGAAAGTAGATTGCCAGGCACCATATGGTGCAGGTGCTTGAGGGCACAGACTGCTTTAGTTGGAATTCCAGCTTTGCGTTATGCTAACTGACCTTTGGCAAATGATTTCATATCTTCGTGCCTTGGTTTCTTTATCTGTAAAATATGGAGTAATGTTACTAGTGACACCTTATTAGAAGAATATAAGGATAAGTAGATATGTTGCACTGTAGCATATATTAAGTGTGCAGTGTTTCTTATCACCGTCATTATCAGTGTCATGACCACTCCCAGGTCCGTATTTCCAGAGAGACTGATCCATTAGGTCCCTGAAGCCCCAGAACCTTGGCTTTCTGAAAGCTCCAGGGGTACTCTGCAACCACGTGTGGTCCTGGTGCTGTGGCTCACTCACACACACAGGGAGTTAGTGCTCCCTGAGCATGTGTGTCAGTGGCCTTTCACTGCTGTCTGTTACAGCATCACAGAGACACTTTCGGGTCTTTTCCCTTAGTGTGTGATAGTCCTTCAAATACTTTAAAACAACTCACAACTTGCTTTAATTATAAAGTCAGGAAAACTACTCTCGTTCTTGGTTTTATTAGAGAAAGCTGGTTTGTTGTCTTTAAATAACAGTTCATTTTTATAAATAGGTTTTGAGATGCAGTAAAATAGCTGGTGTGAAAGTAGCTGAAATTACAGAGCTAATACAGAAGGCTTTGGAGAATGACCAGAAAGTTAGGTAAGTTTAATATTGTTAGAACTAAATGGCCGTTTTATAGATTTCTCTGTTAAGGATTCTTCTTTCACAGAGGTAACCACACACTTGGATCTTTCCTTATCTATTAATCTCAGTTGAATATACTAAATGTTTTTTGAAAGTTGATTGAACTGTTTGTTGTACTGTATTCCAATTTATACAGTCTGTCCTGAAAAGCCATATAATATTTGTCTTTAAAAAAATACAAACATTTTTGCCCTAGCCAGCTTGGTTTAGTGGTCAGAGCATCAGCCCATGTACTCGGTTGCAGGCTCGATCCCCAGCCCCAGTTAGGGGGCGCGTGCAGGAGGCAACCAATTGATCTGTCTCTCTCTCCCTTCCACTCTCTCTAAAAAGCAATGGAAAAAATATCCTGGGGTCGGAGTAAAAAACAAACAAAAACTTAATAGTCACCAAATAAAAGTATATTTTTTAAAAATTTAACATTTTCTTAGAAAAGACTTAGTAACTCAAATTAACTGAGAGACCAAACTGGGTTGATTCCCATCTTCCCACCACGTGACATGAAGCAGGCCCTGTAGCCAGCACCTCAGTGTCTTTTGCAGCATGGGAGGTGAACCCCTACCTGTACGGCTGGTTCGAGGGTGAGAAAATAACCCACTTTAAGCCCCTAGCGTGTGCTTGGCACATGGTTCAGTCAGTCAGTAGAGGTCTTTGCATTATTTCTGTTGATATGCATAATAAATTGGTGAAGTCAAGTTAGTTAAATAACTGTTCCAGTATTTCTTATCAAAAGGATATAGTTAACTTTATACCTTTTTTGTCTTTCCTTCCATCATCCCCCACATCCCCGCCCCAAAAAAACCCGCACAGGAAAGAAGGTGGAAAATTTGGCTTTGCAGAGTCTATAGCAAAACAAAGGATCACAGCATTTAAAATGGAAAAGGCCCCTGTTGATACCTCCGATGTAGAGGAGAAGGCAGAAGAAATCATAGCTGAGGCCGAGCCTCCTCCAGAAGTGTATCTTTATCGGCTGTGGTTTGATTTGTTTCCAGTAACAAGAAGGTTCATGCCGCTGCGCGTTACTAGGGCTGCGGAAGGGGCACATATTGAAATTTGTCTCTGAAACACTGCACTGTGTTAGAGAAAGCATTTAAGATACAGGAGAGTAATGAGTCAGTAAGTCGGTCTCACATCCACCTTCTCTTCAGCTGTCCTATGAAACCCAGAAAATTCTGTTTTAAGACCAAATTAGTGTTTCATTTTCCTTTGGAAAATGGCTCTTTGATCTCAGGGGCACGGTCAGCCTCTCTCTGCACTGACACATCGTTCTTGCCATTCCTGCTTTTGCCAGGTTTATTAGGACACAGCTGAAACGTTCAGCCAGTCTGTTTCTCACCGTTCTCCGTACACCCACCCGAGCTCCCGATTTAGGTTTATCTTCGTGGACCAGCCCCCGTAGCATAGCTGGGGGCAGATTTCCCCTGGGGATCTGAGGCCGGGGCTGCCTTAAAAGACGACTGGCCTGGTCTTTTTCAGCCTGCACCGCAGAGCCGGGCTTCTGTTATGCAGCTTCCTTAACTGTTAAGCGTTTCTAAACCTGTGCTCTGGACTCCTGGCACTGCCCAAATCGGGGAAGGAGTAGAAAACTCCTGGGGGGATCTCGAAGACTCCGAGGAGGAAGACGAGGAGGAAGGCAGCAGCAGTGGAGCCACCGGGCTCCACAGTGCGGAAGCGGGCGCCACCCCAGAGGTCTCCACCGTTGGGAGCCAAGGTAGGTGGTACTTCATGGCTTATATTATATGCTATGTAGACGTTAAGTTACATATGTACTTATATGTATATATGATCTATCCCTGTCTATAGGTTAAAATATCCCTAAAATAGGGATCTTATTTTTATATTAGTTCCTGTTGTTAGAGGAACTAAATTTCAGCTAAACTGTTGAAGCTAATTGCATTATTAACTCCAATTCTTTTCTAAAAGAATATGCTTGTTTGTGGTGTGGTGGTAGCTCTTTGGTATGTAGATATAGCTACATTTTCAATGTAACAATGTTTTGGGGGTTTTTCTTTTATGTATTTTGTGTCATCCAGTTTTAAGGAGGTTTCTTTGGAGTGTCTTTAGCTTCCACTTAATCTGTGCCATCTTTGAATCTCTCTTGAGTGAGACTTTGAAGATTTCTTAAAGATCTTACTCCTGCATGCTCCTTTTTTTCTGTAGTTCCAAGCCTGAAACATAAAGCTTGTAACATAACATACTAGGATAGTGCTGTCCAGATAGAACTTTCTGCAGTACCAGAAAGTCCTACATGTACACTGTCTGATACCATACAGTACCCTAGCCACACACAGGTGGTGAGCACTAAATGTGGCTGGTGTGACTGAGGAGCTGAATTCTGAATTTTATTTATTCATTTTTTGTCAATTCTCACCCGAGGATATTCTTCCATTGATTTTTAGAGAGTGGAAGTGAGGGAGGATGGGAGAGAGAAACATCCCTGTGTGAGACACATCAATTGGTTGCCTCCTGCATGCATCCTGACGGGGGCCAGAGACTGAACCTGCAACCCCAGGTATGCGCCCTTGACCCAGAGTCGAACCCTCGACCCTTCAGTGGGAGGGCCGGCGTTCTAACACACTGTCACACCAGCCAGGGCTGAATTCTAAATTTTAATTCTGGTCAATAAAAAATTACATGTCCACACATGGCTCCCACATGAGCAGTATTGGTACAAAATTCCAGATTTACCTGGAATGTGGGTCTTGGGTGTTCTTTGCATTCTGAAAGCCTTAGAACTAGAGAACCTGATTTGACCAGTGGATGTTTCTTTTAAGAAAACCACATTCTTGCTTGGCCCATACTAGAAAGTAATCATGAGGAGCTTTTTCATGTAGTAAAAATAGCAATCATACAAGGAAGGACCTAGGCATTAGGTGGGCAGAGAACTAAAGGGTGCATGTACTGAGTGTGTGGTGCACCGCCTGCCTGCCTTTGAGGAAGGAAAGTAGCGCCTATAAACGTCACTGAGCCTGCTGTGGTCTTGGGGGTGATCCCCATTGATCGGGGCCTGTATTCACTTTCCTAGTGGTCACTTTATTTGGCGTCTCCCTCAGAGCTTGGCCCATGTATTTATTTACAGCATGTAAGGTGCTTCCACACCGAGCCGTATATAAAGCTTTAGGCTTTCCACGTGATTACATATACATCAGCCACTCTTTAAATGCTTAGAATTCTGTAGTGTTGAATGTCACTAGCTGGATTAGTAATTCCCTTATTGATAAATTATGTCCTTACCATATCTTTACTGTTTCAGTGCTACGCTGAGCACCCTTGCATATGCCCCTTTATATATTTGTGAACTGTTTTCTAGGAATAAGGTTAGCTGCTAGAATATTTGATGGTCATATTTTCAACTGAATAATAAAGGGGACCTGAGATAATTGGGATGGAGCAGGTAAAGCCTTTCTAAAGCATGTAAACAAAGTGCAAAACTAATTGAAAACTCAAAATACAAAGACCTGATATACCAACAACCAACTGGGAAAAGGGTTTTAATTCACATTATATGTCATTAATGAAGGCTCAGGAGAAAAATAGGCAAAGGATACAAAGTAATTCTCAAATATAATACAAATGGCCAATTACATATGCCAACCCTGGTAATAATGAAGGAAACAAATTCAAAGCAAAAAATGAGATAGCAATTTTTGACTGCTGTATTGGGCAGTGTTAAAAATATCAGCCTGGCAAGGTTGTATAGGAAAATGGGTTCTTCATAGACGTTCTTGGAGTGTAAATTGGAACAATATTTACAGAGGGTTTGGCAATATCTTTTGGAAGGTATATATGCCTTTTGACCCAACAATTGTGCTTCTAGGTTATTTTTTTTCCAGTGCTGTTATATAATAGGGAGAAATTAAAAATTTAGATCTTCAAACTTAGCAAATTCTAAGATAAATTGTGGTACCTTATAGAGCGGCACAAGTAGTTCAATTGGCGTATTGACTTCAGTTTCCAAGTTCGTTCTTCAAGATGCTATATTATGTCTGTAAAATTATTTCCCCCTAACTTTTCTATTTGACATGTACCAAGTGATTACATGATTAAAGACATGTTTGGGAATCAAGTACGTACTGTTTCAAAGCTCGAAGGAGTTACATGAGGGAAGGAAAGAACCAAGTAGGCGTATCAGCCTGCACCCAGAGTAGCCTGGGCTCTGGTTGTATGGAAACAGTTTTAGAATTGCTGCTATGGAAACTTTCCAAGAGATTACAGGCCTACCTCAGAGATGCTGAGGTTTTGCTTCCAGACCATCACAATACAGCAAGTCACAAATTTTTTGGTTTCCCAGTAAATAAACAATGGACATAGCTAATTAAAAAAATACCTTATTGCTAAAAAAGGCTAACCGTCATCTGAGCCTGTTGGAAAAATGGTGCCAATAGACTTAATTCAGGGTTGCCACAAACCTTCCATTTGTAAAAAACGAATCATCTTCTAAGTGCCGTAAAGCGAAGCGCAGTGAGGCGAGGTGTGCCTGCACTTACGCTGCTCTCTGACCATTTTCCTAAAGATGCGCCGATAGTGCTGTCAGACAGCGAAGAAGAGGAGATGATCATTTTAGAACCAGACAAGGATCCGAAGAAAATCAGGTGACAACTTCTGGTTTACTTCTCTGGTTTTATTCTCGCCTTACCCTACTGTAAACAAAGATGCCCCTTTCTCATTAGAAATCTAGCTGTTCTTTGGTTCCTTCAGCCTGAGGTTCATAAACATTAAGACCTAATTCTGTAAAACTGTTTGGATGCCTTTCAGGGCGTTTTACTCTCATAGTTGGCACATGTTATGTCCTACTGGATAAATAAGGCCTCCAATTTTTGTGATTCAGAATTTAACAAGCACAGTGGGGCGAGTCATCTGTGGAATCAGCTTCCAGTACCAATACTGTTAGTAAACTGTTAATTTACTTTATTCACAGAATACAGACTGTCAGTGCAAAACAAGACAAAGCACCAAGTAAAAAGCTAGTGAAAAAGAGAAGAAAGAAGAAAACTGCCAATTAAAGCTCACGTGGTTGTCTTTGTGTATATAACTATTAAAAGGATATTTATTTAAGTGCTAGCAACCTTGGGAATTTTTTATTCACAAATCCATTTAAAAATCTAGTCATTTCTTTAGTTTTTACATTATGCTCTTAATAAACCCTCTGGAAAACTTAACAAGGTTTTAAATAATTTTCACTTCAGCCAAGTGTCAAAGTCTACAAGGAATGGAGGAGCATTTTCTTAGGGTGCACAGAGGATCATCATGGCTGGTAAATAAGCAGATTTACCCCAGACATGCTTAGGTCATGTGCGCCAGCAAACAGTCCAGACGCTCGGGAAAATGAGGGTCAGAACTATTGTCTGTTTTCCTGAAACTATAAAATAGTTCAAGTTTTTAAATTTTAGAAGCCTTCCATAGGAGAAATTAATTTTTCTGACTGAAACCCTGAAGTCAAATTATTTGACTTACAAACCAAGTTTTCCAAATCAATTTATTAATTCTTACTCTCCTGACAGCTGGCATCCTTAATACTTTAACAAAACCACTTACAATCAGCCACAATCTAAGATAGTTACATGTACAAAAGATATACAAATTAAAACCATTTAAAAAGGAATAGAGACCATAATTTGTAGTTGACCATAACTTTTGTATTCAGAAATGATTGTAAAGTTAAAACCTAAGATAAAAACTGTACACCATAGACTTTGATTTAACTCAGAAAACAAAGTCAGTCTTTCGCTGTTACACATGTAGTGTCTCCGGTGGGATGAGGAGAGAAACACCGTGATACCTGCAAGGAGGAAAAAACCTGCTTTTAGTAAACATCCGTGGAGTGAAGGGAACGTACCAGGAACTCAATGCAGTTCCCACCTGCCTGAGTGAGCGGCCTCAGACACGCACGCCCGGCCCTCTGCCCTCCCTCAGGCGCGTGACGGCACACGGCCTGCCAGGAGAACGGCCTCTACGCCCTTTAATAAAGCCACAGGACAGCCCGGGCAAGCCAGCTCCTTCACGCCTACTCCTGGTCTTACTTGGAGTGTTTGTACTTCTCTCTGATGGACTGCTGTGCGTGCTGCGGCGCTCTGAGGTAGGTCTGGTGAAGGTCCAGGAGGCAAGGCTTCAGACTCTCCAGGGTATAGCCAGTCTTCTGTACCAAGGACTCAGGCTGCAGAGGGAGAGCACCGCTGAGTTGTTTTTAGGAGCGCACACGAGTTAACAGTTGGCACTGAGCTTGAGTCTTGTTAAATTACGGTACTAAACACCAACCAGCAGGTCTTCCAGTTTTCTCAAGCCAGCATTCCACCTTTTATGCTGACTTTGATCAATGTTTACTACTCTCCCTGCGGCGGGGTGGAAGGCACACCTTTCAAATCCAAGTAATAAGCTTTCTACCTAACAAGCAGAAGCTTAAACAGCGTTCAACAGCTTTCCCAGGTCAGTGCACCCAGACAACCATCAGCTATAGAGGAAAACAGTTAACGGATCTAGCACAAGCGGTTAAGTCACAAGGTAGGTGTGTGAAGACGTGATACGTACCCAGCTCTGTCCCGTGACTGTGTAGAGTGCTAGATGAAAGGCCGCTCCGGCAATGACCGACGGCAAGTACTTAAGGTATGGGTCAGCATCTATCAAGCTTAACTCTCCCAAAAACTGGAATGAAAAGGAATAGACTTGATGGCCACACGAGCTCTAGAATTCAAACCTCACACGTCTGCCTCTGCCCTCATTTCCTCCTGGCTTTGACTGCTGTAGCGCAGCCGCAGGAAAGTTTCCCACAGCCGCATCTTAGATTTGCCCACTATCTTAGTGTTTCCTTCAGTCCTCTCTCCTCTTGATAACTTTTTAAAGTCCTCACCTGAGGATGTTTTTATTGACTTTTTAAGAGAGGAAGGGAGAAACATCTATTGAGAAAAGCATTAATTGGTTGCCTCCCATATGTGCCCCAACCAGGGACCAAACCTGCAGCCTAGGTATGTGCCTAGACTGGGAACTGAACCTACCACCTCTTGGTGTGCAGGACAATGATCCCAGCAACTGAGCCACCCCACCAGGGCGCTTTTAGTAACCTTTAAAGTAACTCTTCTGGCTACCATTTCCCAGGACTATAATTTCTATTATCTCTTGCCAATGGCAGGGAGTCTTCCTTCCATACTGCAGCATGAGTCTGTCCCTGAAATACTAACCCCTTGACCAAAGCTGTATAATGAAACTAGGGCTTGCCCCTAATTGTGACCTAAGAATCTTGCTTCAACAGAATGAAAAGAACATACCATTGCTAAACTTTCAACTTTGCAGTTTGCAGGCTGCTGGTGCAGAAAGTATTGGGTGAGAAACTGATTTACTGTTGGCGCAGCCAAGTCAAAAGCAAGGACTTTGAGAACGAGGTGCTCCATTCTTAGAACTTGTTTCTTGGTATAGGTATCATCTGTAATGTACACAAACTCTGCTACTTCTGGGGGGTATATTTCTTCAAACTTTCTACAATGAAAAAAGTTTTAAGTAATCAGTCCTAAAAGAGAAGTGTGAATATCCCAATTCTGAAATCCCTCTACCAGAATACACAGAATGAATCCAAAACCTACTTTCGCCAATTGCCTGTTTCCACTGATGACCACTTCTAGCAGCGACTGGGTAAATGCTAATTAGAAGACCCAGACCAATAAAGGACGTTTAAGATATTTCTCCCAGTGCAAAGAAAGTAAATGAGAGACATGAGACTTCCCAAGACAGAAACAATGCTAGAGTTCACCAAGTAACTGAAAGTTTAGGAAGTTTTCTTAGAAAAACAAACACTTTATGTTTTAGTTTTAAAGTTTAAGTTTTTATGTCTTAGAACATTTTGCTCATATGCTGGAAAGCCCTTTTTAATGGAAGGAACCACTTTAAAACTTTGTAATCTAGTCCTAGTGTATTAAAATGTAGCCAGTCTACGTGTTCATTCAATAAGGTACCCTGGGATCCAGAGCTGGAAAAATTGTGTCCTAAATTAGGAACATTTCATCCATACCTGTCACCACTGAAGTAGTCACCGACTCTGCCTTGTGTATTGTGTCACACTGTTAAAAATCACATTTCTTCCCTACACAGAAAGGTACTGATCACTTTTAACTCAATGAACCAAGCCGACTTACGAGGCTAAGAGCATAGCAGCGGTGCCCACAAGCTGGAGTTTTCCTCTCAATACGGACATGGAGGAAAGGAACCTGTCGATGTAGTTCACGGCCAGGTACAGGGTCTCATTCTGGAGTTTATACTCTTCTCCTACTTCAACTAACCAGTCCACGAGGATGGCCCGCATGCTGTTGGTGATGTCTGGCTGTTTCTTCATGTAACCCACTTTAGGCTTACATTTAATCTGTGGAGAAAGTTACTTAGCATAGTGTTAAAGCAGTTAGGTTATTCTACGTTAACAAAGCTGCTATATGTTAGAAACCCAAGAACAGCATTAGAGTAACGCACGGGCAGTTAAAAACTGACAGGTGTTCCCTCCACTTTACTTCCCCACTGAATAAACCGCAGAACAGAAAGTGGATTCTGAGAGCCTTTACCTCCATTTCCCTAAGGTACGTGTGAATGTCCTCATGGTAGTCTGGCACTTCATTAACACTCACTGGCTTTTCATCTTCCAACACAACTGACATGTCCATAGTGTGTGGTGACTCTAGGAGGATTCAAAGGTACAATTAAGTTCACTGTTTAATTTTCTACTTAATAGCCCAAAGTGACTGCCCTTGCAGGGAGTGCCACACTACCAAAGCATTTATTCCACCCAGGACAAAGTATACAGATACTTCACTCTGGTTTTAGTACCTCTGTCCACTTAGCTTTAGAATGATATATATTTTTAATCCTCCCAGCAAGGATGTTTTTTCTATTTCTTTTCAGAAAGAGTGGAAGGGGGAGAAACATCGATGAGAGGGAGACATATGGATTGGTTGCCTCCCACTCCCACACTGACCAGGGCCAGGAATGGAGCCTGCAGCCAAGGTACATGCCTTCAGTTGGACTTGAACCCGGGATCCTTCAGTCCACGGGCTGACACTCTAACCACTGAGCCACACTGGCCAGGGCTAGAATGATAGTAACAAGAAAAAACACTGACCGGCCAATAACAGGAAAATAAGTATGAGGATCAGGTATTATGTTACAGTATCATTCATCTTCCACGAGAGACAGTGGCACAGTGGTTCTAATAGGACAAGGTTAAAATCCAAATTCTAAGATAACACAGGATTTACCCTAAGAGTTTACAGACCCCAGTCTGATGTATTCAAAGCACAATCTAGGCAACACCCAGAAGCAGGCTAACAACACCTTTTGTAATTTTAAATTACCTTGTGAAGCAAAGAACATCATCCATTATTCTTTTCACTTCAAGGTTCACTTAGAGGTTAAAATTTGTTGCAAATTTTAAATAAAAATACATGAATTACATTAATTCCAAAGGGCTCTGCTGCTCCTTCCATACTACCCTCTCACTAACAGAGCTAACAGTGAAATGAGACTGGATTTAGTGAGCTGTGTCCAGTGACTCAACAGCCCCACGTAAAGCGCCAGCAGCACACACTGGGCACAGCTGTCTAGATCAGCTACTCTCCTTACACGTGGTTAAGTACAAATACCTATGGTTCAACTCCTGACTCACAGGACAACGTTCCTCTCTGGCGTCAGAGGATCGCTCAGACTGGTTTCACAGAAACAAAATTTTAAAGCCGAAAGAGATGTTCAGTATCACAGCAGGTCAAGCTGCACGCTCACACAGCCCTCTCTGAAGTGGAATGCACCGAGTGAATCTTAGGAATGAATACAACTGAAATCTAATGGTGCAGACATTTCCAGAGTCAGGCTAAAACCAGGGGTTGAGATCTACCTAAATTGATGAGATCAGCAGTGTACTGGAAAGAGCACCCAATTTGCATTTAGGTTCTTTTGTAGGCCACTGGGGTTATGTATTAGCAATGAGGTCTGAGATAAATCACACCCTTTCTAAACTTGTGACATTAAACCTAACTCATAATGTAGCAAGGATCTGGTAAGATAATGTCTTAAAATGCAAAATATCATTAATCCAACCTATTTAATAATTATGATTATATTGATTTGATACAGGTGTTCGTTAGAACTTACCAAAACTACCATCCATTGGACAATCAATAGGCACCAGTGGTTTTCTTGGTTCAGGTAAAGTAATAGCTGAATTAAATGCCAGGACATCTTCACATTCTGTTTCTTTAGATTCACCTGGGCTCTTCTGAGACTCTTCTTCTGCTTCATCCACATGAATGGTAAATGCAGGCTGTTTATTGTTTGCTTTCCAGGGAGGAACAATGACATGCTCATCGTTTACAGGAAGATCCTTAAGGGGTGCAACCTAAAAAGAAACCAGTAACTGGCTTTGAGCTTATTAAATGGAGTTTTGCTTTCTTCCTCTTATGGGTCTCAGTCACTGCTTTTACTCCCAAATACTCTATCAGGAAAATAAAACTTTCTGGGGCAAAATCCAGGCAAGAAAATTTGAGTAGTCAAGGAAAAGAAGGGATGGTCCAATTTGTCACAGGCATTCATACAAAGGTTAGAGAAAACGAATCAAGGCCACAAGAGCTGCAGAATGATGACAAGTTTAGGAAAGAGATGGCAAAAACATGTTGGTTCACCACTTTAACCCCCGGGGTGGAGCAACAGAGCAAATCCGGGAAAATGGCGGAATTTACCAAAAGCAAAGTATTTTTTATATCCTTTCCTGAAGGAGAGGTAACCTCTTAACTTCCCTCTAGGGGGAGGTGGTAGGAGGTCCGGGTCCTAGAGCAGTGCCTGAGGTTTAAAAGCTATGAGAGAGGTGTGGAGGCGGGTAGAGACCACAATCATGTTGTAGGGCTGGCTTGGTTTGACCCCATTATCTACGGAAAAATAACCCAACAGAGAGCAGAAGGCAGCAAACGCACAGTGCTGGCCGGGAGAGCAACGGGACAAACTACCCCAGTGGCATCCCAACACGCCAGAAAACCAGGGATCAGGGGGAATCCAGACCCAGACCTCCCTAAAATAGCCCAGAGGGTGCTTTCTCGCCCTCCTCTGCCTGCTGAACCCATGCATCCGCTCATCTGTTTACCCGTCGCGTCTTGGGCCTCGGCGGCGGCGCTGGACCTCGCTGGTTCCCGGCCTTCAGTACCGCCAGCCTGGCCCGGGTCCGGGGCTGCTGGGCGGGAGACACCTTCTCGGGGTTGATGTTCTCCTGGTCCTCGTGGGGTGCCGTCTGCTGCGAAGTGTGCGGCGCCGAGCCCGCCGCGCGGGCCGCAGAGTTGCCCAACATCACAGCTCCCGAGGACGCGGCGGGATCAGCCTGCGGCGCCAAGCAGCGTGCACTCCG